AGCCCTTTGCCTGCCCAGCCCCCAGCAGGGGTTTTCAGCATTTCCTCCAGCTCCCAAACAACAGTCCCTGAGAGTCTTATTCTTGTAATGTCCTCCTGTGAGCTGCTCACCCTTCCCCCTCAGGACTGTGCCTTGCAGGGTGTCTGGGGCCTCAGTGAGCTGGACCCGCCCCTTCCTGTTGGGGGCGGTGCTCCTGGCTGCAGGAGAGGCAGGTGGGCTCCACCCCTCCCTGCTCAGCTCTGGTTGGCTGGTTGCTCCAGGCCCGCCCCTCAATCAGTCTGAGCAGACGCCAATCCCAGCCTCCACTCATCTGCACAGTGCACGCCGGGAAGGTGGGAGCCAGTTCCCCCATCAGACTCACAGACGCACAAAGGCACACACAGCGGAGAGTCCGCCCCTCAAGGTCCTGCTGCCCACGCACCAAGGCCCCCAGCGGGAGGCGACCCAAAGTCAGCTCCACGCATCTCCCCGCACTGCTGGTCTCAGCAAAGCTGGGGCGGCTCCACGCACCACCACGGCGCCCCTCAGGGCGGGTCACCCATCCCAGCCTGTCGGCACCGGGAGCTCAGGGCAGGAGGGCTCCTCCCCTCCCCCACGCCCCGCAGATTCAGCTTTTTCTGGGGCTCAGCACAGTGCCCCACAGGGAGGCAGAGGGTCCCCGTGTGCGGCTGCTCAGCGCAGTCCTGTGGTCCCTCACCACGCGGGTGCCACACACCTTGGGACGGCTTTCCCTATGGTCGGCACCCCGAGCATTAGATGCCGGTTGTGGTCTCCATGAGAGGCTTTGTTTCCCGGGAAGGCGCCGGCCGCCGTCAGAGGCTTTGTTTCCCGGGAAGGCGCCGGCCGCCATCAGAGGCTTTGTTTCCCGGGAAGGCGCCGGCCGCCGTCAGAGGCTTTGTTTCCCGGGAAGGCGCCGGCCGCCATCAGAGGCTTTGTTTCCCGGGAAGGCGCCGGCCGCCATCAGAGGCTTTGTTTCCCGGGAAGGCGCCGGCCGCCATCAGAGGCTTTGTTTCCCGGGAAGGCGCCGGCCGCCATCAGAGGCTTTGTTTCCCGGGAAGGCGCCGGCCGCCATCAGAGGCTTTGTTTCCCGGGAAGGCGCCGGCCGCCATCAGAGGCTTTGTTTCCCGGGAAGGCGCCGGCCGCCATCAGAGGCTTTGTTTCCCGGGAAGGCGCCGGCCGCCATCAGAGGCTTTGTTTCCCGGGAAGGCGCCGGCCGCCATCAGAGGCTTTGTTTCCCGGGAAGGCGCCGGCCGCCATCAGAGGCTTTGTTTCCCGGGAAGGCGCCGGCCGCCATCAGAGGCTTTGTTTCCCGGGAAGGCGCCGGCCGCCATCAGAGGCTTTGTTTCCCGGGAAGGCGCCGGCCGCCATCAGAGGCTTTGTTTCCCGGGAAGGCGCCGGCCGCCATCAGAGGCTTTGTTTCCCGGGAAGGCGCCGGCCGCCATCAGAGGCTTTGTTTCCCGGGAAGGCGCCGGCCGCCATCAGAGGCTTTGTTTCCCGGGAAGGCGCCGGCCGCCATCAGAGGCTTTGTTTCCCGGGAAGGCGCCGGCCGCCATCAGAGGCTTTGTTTCCCGGGAAGGCGCCGGCCGCCATCAGAGGCTTTGTTTCCCGGGAAGGCGCCGGCCGCCATCAGAGGCTTTGTTTCCCAGGAAGGCGCCGGCCACCATTAGAGGCTTTGTTTCGCTGGGAAGGCGCCCTCGCCTCCTTGCGGGCACTCCTGGTTCCCTCTGCGCTCCTCGCGGGGCGCTCCTTCCCCTCTCGTCGCTCCGGGTGCGGGATCCCCGCTTTTGGAGGGGGGTCCGCTCTCCCGAGGGGGGGGAGCTTTGCCGCCTCCAGGCCTCGGGGCTCGGAGCCCAGCACAGGCTTCAGGGGGTCCCCCCTTCCTACGCCCCCTCTCTCACCGGCCTCCGTGATGTCTCCTCAGGGCTCCCCACTCGCACCCCGTCCACTCAGGTATGTTTCTCTGGTGTTTCCAAGCTGGCTACGGAGGGTTTAGGAGCAAATCGGGCCCGTGGCTGGGAGCGGGGGCCTCTGCTGCTGCTCACAGGGCCCCCATCTTCCCTGCCCTCCAGCACTGCTCCTTTTAAAAGTTACATAGTATAATATGTCACCCATTTATATTGAACTGAATGTCCTCTGAATTTTCTTGCATCATAATTTATATATTTTATGCCTCCACACCTATCATTGCAGCAGCTGATGGATGGCAGACCAACACCAACTTCCTGCTCCAAAGTCCTGTGCTTCCTCTTGCTCCATCACTACTATGGACAGGAAAATTTGTCCATCATTCCAACTCTACTCAGCCCTATCTTTTCTTTTCCCTTTAAGGTATGAATCTCATTATTTTGTTGTTGTTAGTCAAAAGTAAGATCTTCCTTGAAGAACATTCTTAGAAATGGTGAATGAAACTTCAAAGGAGTAGAATATAATTTAGACCCATCTGTCTCAAAGGCCAGAACCCTGCGCGTAGCACTGTGCATGACGCCTACTCTTCTATTGTGGTGCATGGCAGAGACCTTGCTGCAGGCCAAGGTTATCTGGATTTCAGTCCTGGCTGTGACCCTAGCAGTGCAGTCTTCTAGGGCGGCCCATGTTGCTTGTATCTAGAATGCTAACATCTAGGTCTTTGTCTCAGTAAATGTTAGTTGAATGATTGAGGCCATGGAACAAACACCTAACCTGTCTGCTTCCGTCTCTTTGCACCTTGGAGGCATTCCTTTGAAGGCTTCTCTGTCTCTAGAAATGTATTGTCATGGGGTGGCCCATGTCTTCTCACTCTACATATCTTCCTGGCTGAGCTCACTCACTGAAATGGTTTCACCTATCATCTATTTATTTGTAAATCTCAAGTTTAAAATTTATAGCCTCTCTCTCCATTTTCTTCTCCCCTCCCCTCTCCTCCACTTTTCTCCTCTACTCTTGTGCTCCATAATAATAGACCCTTAACATTGCTAAGAAGACTTCAAGGGTTACCTCAATAATCCTAGAACTCCTGAAAACCACTATGGAATATAATTTTCCCTGTTAAATGCATGTAGAAGAGAGAATAGAGAAAAAAACAAACACAAAATACAAACGTAAACAAAATGCAAAACAAAGGAAACAAAAACCAGGTTTCTCTGAGGTCCTGAGCGAGGCACTCTTCCTTGGTGTCCCATCTATTCTTGTTTTGTCAGTTCTTCCATCCAACAAACAGCCTCTTGGATCATTGACTTCCCCTCATTCCTCCTTCCCTCTAGTTTTAGTCATTTCACATCTTATTTACTACAATAAAACAGTCCGTTGGTCTCCCTAATTTTGTGTTTTTGTTTTTCTCTATTTTGTTGTAGATTAGTCTTCCTAGAAATCTGTTTTTGCCTTGCTATCTCCTTCTTTCTTGGCGGATAGTATAGAGTAGCTCCACTTTGTGTAAAAGCTCATGTGGAATCTCCCTCCAGGCACTTGAGTCTGCCATCCAAGGGCCTTATGTCACCTGGCAACCCTGCTTCCCACCTCTAAAACCGACCTCTACACCTCTGCAGCAGCCTAATGCATAACCACTGGCCACATATGTGATTGAACCCTTGAAATTTGTCCTGAAGGCCTGAGGAATTGAATTTTTAATTTATGTGATTTTAATTGATTGGCATTTAAATTTAAAAATTCAAGTTTTGTCAATGTGGATGCGAATATTAACAGAAAATGATTTTGGGCATTTGATTCAGTTACTGGAAGACATTTAGGTTATGTTTGGAACAACTCAGGTATGTAAATTCATCTTTTCAGTTGTAACTTTTATAAATCTAAGTGCAGATCAAATATTTCTGATAAATTTAGCATCCAAATTAAGATATGCTGTGTGAAATGCACATTAGCTTTCAGAGACTTAGTATGAGTAAAAGAATGTAAAATATCTCATTAAAATTGTCCATAAATTTTTTTGTATTTAGTATATATTGAAATAATAACATATGGATATATCAAATAAGATAAAATGTATTTTTTTAAAAATATATCTTTATTGATTTCAGAGAGAGGAAAGGAGAGGGAGAGAGAGAGATAGAAACATAAATGATGAGAGAGCCATTGATCGAGCCCACTACCCAGGCATGTGCCCTGACCTGGAATCGAACCCCGATCGCCTGGATCCTAGGTCGACGCTCAACTGCTGATCCACGCCCAGCTGGGCGATAAAATGTATTTTAAAATGAATTTAATCTGTTGCTTCTGCTTTTTAAATGGGGCCACTAGAAAATTTTAAATTACATATATGACACATTATATTTCTATCAGACTGCTATTCTAGAACAATTGGGCCATTTTTCTATTCTCTCCTCCCTTCAACTTAGATTTTTCCAGGGCAGGCTAAATTTTTAATATTCCCTCCCCCCAATCTTCATAAATAACTCATACTTGTTAGATAACCTGTTTGAATGAATGGCTTAGAAAATGTGATCCAGGCTTCCACCACTCCCCCTTCTAGTGTTTTCTAATGTTGTTCCTCACATTTGGAACATCCTTGTTTTTTTCTTCTTGTTTTTTTTTTTTTAAAGTTATCTTAGGAATAGTTTATTTCTTTTTTTTTTTTTAATATATCTTTATTGATTTTAAAGAGAGGAGAGGAGAGGGGGAGAGAGATAGAAACATCAGTGATGAGAGAGTCATTGATGGGCTGCCTCCTACATGCCCCTGGCTGGGGATAGAGCCCACAACCTGGACATGTGCCCTGACCAGGAATTGAACCCTGATCGCCTGGATCCTAGGTTGATCCTCAACCGCTGAGCCACGCCCATCCGGGCCATCCTTGTTTTCTTTTCCAAAGAAAGTTCAGTTACTCGAATCAAGCATCATGCTTTCTTCCTCCTTTGACACAATTACCAGATCTAAACTACTACTTTTTGAGCAACACAAAGGCTCAGTAAGGGCCAGTTGAGTAATTGCTCAGTGCAGGAAAATTCCATATATGTGAAGTGTATCCTTATCGAGTTGCCAAATATTCAATTTGGCGATTTTAATTAAAGAAATATGTTTGCATTTTGGTAGATGTGCTATAGTGGAAAAAGAACTTGCTATAGAGTCTGCAAACTAGGGCTTTAGTTCCAATTCTTCCTCTCTGCACACCTGACCTTGGACAAGTACACTTCACCTTTCCAGGACTCACTTTTTGCGTCTAGAAAACAGATTAGGTAATCTCTAAGCTATATTGCAAATCACATATTTTATAAGTCTGTGATGGAAATCTTTCTCAAATGCCTTACACAGTACTACAAATTTTTAAAAATAGAACATGCTGCACAGAAATTAGCATTTTTAAAAATGTCAGAGTCATTATTAGGGATGTCAATTATTATGCACCGACAGTGTAATGCAGCTAAGGGTTTATTGTGTGATGTGTGTGATGGCTTACTTTTCAAATCACCTGCTTTTTATTTTTTAATTAATGTCTGCCCTTTAATTTCCTCTTTTGATGTTAGACTGTCCCCAGTCACTTATTGCTGACGCCAGCCCTGCCTATTTTAATAGCTTCCATGTCTTCTTCTCACCTAGTTTGAGGCTTCTAGCCTAAGGTGATGTGGGGAAGCCCAGTAATGTTAAGCTTGTTTGCCTTATGTCTGAAGTTGGTCATTTAGTCCCTCAGGAGCCATTCACTGGGTTCCTGTACCTGTGTGCAAGGCACAGGATGGTGCAGGGCTGAAGAAGAAATAATTTATAAGTCATCTTAATAACCTTGGGGGAATGTCACAATTTAAAAAGCATGTGAACTTTAGTGTAGGGCTTCTGCAGGTCTTTTTTTTTCACTTCTCAGTTTTCAGTCCCTTTACTGATGACTGAGTTTCCTAGACAAGTGATCTATAGATAATAGAGGGCTTAATAATAATAATGGTCAATCAACACAGTGAGGAATTCTCTCAGGAATATACAAAGGGACAAGTCAAACAGCACAAAAAGTCCAGAAATAGGCTCCATGTATATGTAGGACCTGATTGTACACAGAAGTAGTTTCTCAAAACAGAGAGAAAAGGATGGATCATTTAGTGTCTCATTTAATGCTTACTATTAGCTTGTCAGCCAGATAACATTATTCTCCCCATTCTAGAGATAAGGTAAAAAAAGAGTCAGAGACCTGCCCAAAGTGTCAGTGGTAGATCTGGGGGGAGAAAATGTATTATCTTTGGTCTGTTTCTACCAGTGCTCAATACTGAGTCATTTCATGTTCAGATGACCTGAACCCTTCCTAGTGGTCAAAAGAAGTAAATAAAAAGGTGGTTCTCAACCAGCAATAATTTTACCCTCCAGAGTAAAATGTCTGGAGATGTTTTTGGTTTTCACAACTGGAGTGAGAGGGATGCTTTTGTCATCTAGTGGGTAGAGACCAAGGATGTTGCTTAATATCCTACAACACAGTATAGGCCCCCAAGAATGATCTGACTGTAAATGTCAATATTGCCATGATTGAGAAACCTTCCAATAGACCAAATAAAGCTCTTAGTACTTCATTAGTAATGTAGGTTGGATTACAATAAATAATTTATTTGAAGTCCATTTTTTTCCTTGCTCACACTATATTAAAGCAAGAACCAAGTGGGAGGAAGGTGAAAAAAAAGCTCCTGAGGCTTGGAAATACCTGGAAACCTTTTCATTTTATCTTTCCTGTGGGAATATAAGTAAAATCTAAAGACTTGCTACATACCTATAGTAGATATTATTAATGTTTGCCATCAAGATTTCTGATCCTTCTTTTTTGGAGATGGGGGCACATGCCCTCTTGAGGTTAAGAGTAGTCATGTGACTGAAATGTGAGTTATGGGGGAAAGCCAGTTTGTGATTTTCCATGCTTTCTTCCTAGGCCACAGCAGCAGTGGGAATGTATGTTGGTATGGAGAAACCGAAAATCTAAGCAACATGGACACTGCGCCTATGCATAGAGGTCAGCAATTCTGCCTAGTCTCCCAGATCTACTAAAGACGTTGTATGAGTAAGAAATCGTCTTTTGTCATGCTACACCACTGAGAATTTTAGATTATTACTGTAGTGCACTCTAACTTATCCTGTCTAATACATCCAAGCTAATTAGCAAGGACTTTGGAATTCTTGAACCCCCCCCCAAATTTCTGGGGTGTTGCTTCTGCCTTGGAAATCAGGATATATTAATATTTCATATACATATTCATTCACACTGCTTTTTCAAATTCTGATTAGCGCTCAGGTCCTAGAGAGATGTTCATCTCTATAAAACTCCAGTCACTCTGCAGTGAGCACCAAATGTTCTTACCATATACTTGTTGGGACTGTCTGTGAAGGAATAGTTTTTTAGGCCTTGGAAGTATATTTTTGTCTGAAATGATTTCTGTTGGCATTAAAACATGTCCTGATTGGTGACATCCCAAGCTTGATGACTTTTGCCTTCTTATTATAGAAATTATATTATGAAAGATATAATATAAATTTTATTTCATTTCCTGAATTTCTAAATTAGAAATTGCGAAAATTCTACGACAATGGTAAGCAACCTCTCCCTGTTCTCTTCTACACACTTTACTCTCTCTTTCTCCCTAGTTTGAATCAATACCATATCATTACTTCTGTGATCTGTTGGAAACAATATACCTTTTTTTGGTAAGTCAAGGATCCAGAGACTAAAAAACAAACTTTTAAAGTCCAGAGACTAAAAAACAAGCTTTTAAAGTGGCCATTAGTACTCTTGTAACATTATACCTACAATCCAATGTGATTTTTACCAACCCCTTCTTGATGTATATCCATTTTAACTACCATATTTATTATTGCATTTATTTACTTACTCAAAAGTATTTATTTACTTTATAGCAATCCTATAACCTCATTGAATGAGCTTCAACTGTAACCTAAGGGTCACCTACCTGGAAGTTCCTAGCTCTTTCTACCTTATGGGAGTTGTGTCTCCTTTCCTTCTGAAGTCAAGTAAACTGCAGTGCAACACAGTCCCTCAGGTGGTAGAAAATCTAACATGCTGACCAAGATGTCTGGGCAGTTCTGTGCATCTGATTTCTTGTGGTTTGTTCACACTATGGCCTGTTTCCCTGTCACCCCTGAACCCTGGTGGCTCTTCTTCTCATTGTCCATTTTGCCTTTTTCTTTGTGTTTCCTAGGGACTAGAGTTTTGGAATTTTTTTTCTAGTAGGTACCAGTGGTTATTGGTGTAGAGACATTGTGTTAATAAAAAAGAGCAGGAGGGATGGCTATATTAAAAGTGCAAGAGGCCAGTGGTAACTTTTAGATTGAAAGTAATTTAGAAATCATGATCATGTCCCAGAGCTATGTTTTTCAAACTTTTGAAAACATGACCTCCAGAAGGATATACTGTTTTGTTATGATCCAATATACTTAAACACATATATAAACATATGACGAAAAAACAAGTGAAATAAAGTTTCATGAAATAGCTACCTTTACTACATGACAGGCATTCTGATATTTTCTGTTTTCATTAGTCTAACCTGTTCTATTTTGTGTTTTAAAAAATTCCAGTTATGGTGCATCAAATGATTTTACAATTCATTAGTGGGTCATGACCCGTAGTCTGAGGAATCCCGTTGCCAAAACTGCCTCCCTTTCACTCGGGTACAGTAAGTCTTTGCTTAAAGTAATGGATAGGCTTTTGGAAACTGCAACTTTAAGCAAAACCAATTTGACAGTAGAATTCCTACAACGTAGTTCTGGTCACAAAAACATCACTAAACTTCTGAGTAAAGACCCAAAACACTTCTAATATGAAACATTGAAATAAATGTGAGCTATACATACATTTAAGAAAGATGGATAAAAACAGGGAAGATCACTCTTTTTCAACCAGCTTATTCTATTCTAGTTCAGGGTTGCGGTGGCCAGAGCTTCTCAAGACGGCACAGGGTACAAGATGGGGACACACCCTGGACAGGATGCCCTTCCATCTCAGAGCTACTCACCCACACCCACACCCACACCCACACCCACAGTCTCTCAGATGGGAGAGTGTGCACACGAAAGTTCGCCTCATGTTCACATCTCTGGGATGTGGGAGAAAACCCAGGCAGACATGAGGAGAAGGTGCGAATTCCACACGGACAGTGGCCCCTGCCTGCGATTGATTTCCCCCCCTCATTAACATTAGAAGAAAACGACGTTGAATGAAAAAGACGTTACTTGAGGACCTGCTGTGCATACTTGTATGTAGATAAAAACGGGCAATGCAGCTCAATTCTGACTCTTTCAAGAGCTGAATAAAGCTGCCCAATTAACAGAGTACAAACTCATATACGGGAACAACCTATGACTGGCTCTAGCAGTTTTGGTCATAGGAATTTGGAAGCCTGTGCTATGGCTCCACCACTTGGGACCGCTTCCAGCAGCCACACCAGTGATCAGTCTAATCAGGGTGGTGCTTCTGCTCTGGTAATTTCCACTGCTGTGGTTGTTCACTGCACATATCAAACAGACTGACAATTAGTGGCTGAGAGTGTAAACAGAACTCATGTAGAATTTAAATCCCTTACTAATGTGTAGTGATGTTTGTCAAGAAAACACTGTTGTTTATATTGCACTGGATTTCACTTGCAAAAATATTTGGTATTTTCCCAGTCATGCAAGAGGAGAAAAGAGGAAATTAGAGATCAAGATCAAGGCGGATGCAGACAGGCCAAAATGACAAGTACTATAACTTTCCAATATGTCTTAAGCCAAATTTAAATGAAATTATTTGCTTATATAGTTAATTTAATCTAATTGTTTACTAAATTAAAACATTTATATCTTGCTCCCCAAGTAGATACAGTATATCTATAGGTTCAAGGCAAGGGGAGATTTCAGCTAGTCATTATCTATTTTGGTACTTCCTGTGTTCATTTCCTAGTGCTGTTGTAACGAAGTGCCACAAACAGGGTGGCTTAAAACAATAGGAATTTATTCTCTCACAGTTCTGGAGGCTAGAAGTCTGAAATCGAGGTGTCAGCAACACTGTGCTCTCTCAAAGGCCCTAGGGGAAGCTCTTTCCTTTCCTCTTGCTAACTTCTGATGGTTTGCTAGCTGTCCTCGGCTTGCAGATGCATCACTCCAATTTCTGCCTCCGTTTTTAAATGAAAATTTCCTAATGTATCTCTCCTTCACATGGTGTTCTTATCTCTGTGCCTTTTAGTCCAGGCTGATGGTGTTTTCGCTGGTATAAAACCCTCTCAGAAACTTGTCAGCCTCCTGGTAAAATTCATGGGAGTCCGACCATTAGGCATGAGGGTCTTCCACAGATCCTTCCTGTGTATCTCCATCTCTGTTCCTGGCTTATGCCAAGGTCGCCGATCAGATCCATAAATTGTATGTAAATAGGCTGAGGATTTTCCAAATCAAGTGCTGGTTTCTGGATTGATCCCTTTCCTTTAATGTTTTATTGTAAGCAGCAAGGAGAAACCCTGCAATACTTCCCACAGTTTCCTTGGGAATCTCCTCAAATATCCAAGTTCGTCACTTCCAACTTCCATTTTCCATAAAACTCTAGAACATAATTCAGCCAAATTCTTTGCCACTTTATAACAAATATTGCACTTTTTCCAGTGTCCAGTAACATTTTCCTCATTTCCATCTGAGACCTCACCAGCAGCACCTTTAATGTTCGTATTTCTACCCACATCCTATTCATGACGGTGTATGGAATTATCTGAGATAATAGAAGTTTCCTCCCCTGTGTTCCTCACTTCCATCTTGACCTTTAGCAGAATCACCTTCAATGCCCATATTCCTACCAACCATCTATCTCTTCAAGGCAATCTAGGCTTCTTCTGTCAAGCTCCTCAAAATTCCCCAATTCCAAATACATTACCGTATTTTCAGGTATTTGTTATAGCAGTACTCCACTTCCAAGGATCAAAATCTGTATCAGTCAGGGGTCTCCAGACAAACAGAACTAGTACAATATGTACAAGTATATTTGTCTATATTCATATTTATATTCATATATATGAAGAGATTTATTTTGAGGAACTGGCTCACATGTTTTAGGTGCTGGCAAGTCCAAAATTTGTAGGGCAGGCAGGCAATATGGAAACTCAGGTAGGAGTTAATGTTCCAGTCTCAAGGCAGAATTTCGTCATCTTCGAGAAGCCTTAGTTTTTGCTCTTAAGGCCTTCAATTGATTAGATGAGACCCAACTACGTTATAAGGTAGTCTCTTTTGCTTAAAGTCAACTGATTGTAGATGGTAATCACACCTACAAAACACCTTCACGGCAACATCTAAATTAGTTTTTGAATAAATAACTGGTTACTATAGCGTAGCCAAGTTGATAAATAAAACTAACCATTGCACTTCCAAAGGCAGACTTGGTCACATTCTGTCATAAATTATCAATAAGTATCTGATTCTTTATAAGCTCAAAGTATTGCTTCTTTATGCTTTTATTTATAAGTTTTAAGCTTCATACTTAGCCATAAGTCTCTTGTGCAGCAGGCCTTTGAATAATGCAATTCCATTATAATGTTGATGAGATGCTATTGGAACTTAACTCTTGTTTCTATCAATAAGCCTATGGTAAAATTAGTTTCATTATACATTGCTTTGCTTAACATCACAGACCTATTGGTGATGTTAAGAGAGGACTTTACTATATTTGTTTTATTTTATATCCTTGCTTTGTAATATATATGATTTTGAAAATGTTCTTCTCTTGAGTATTATACCTTCATGTAAAACATGCTGCTTATTTTTTATATTAGGAAAAGTATTTTGAATTTAAAAATTTCTTTAATGAAATTGAGCCTTTTATCAGAGGAAGTTTTCACACCCACTTGAATGATAATGGTGCAACATATCATTCGAATCACAGGGATATGTGCTTCCTTGCTAAGGGCTTAAAGTATTGAGAGACACAAGAGTGGAGGCAGATGATAGAGGAAATGCTTGGCAACTCATTGGAATTACATGGAGAGCTTTTAAAAATTGCAGACCAGTTAAATCAGAACGTCTAGGGGTGGTAACTAGGTGTCAGTCTTTTTGAAGTTCCCCAGATATTGTGGTTTAAAAATATACCCACAAATTCTTTGTCATTCCTTTCCTCTAGAGGTAAAATTTTCCTTTTTACTTGAGAGTGGGCTGGACTTAGTGACTTGTTTCTATCAAGAGCTTATGGCAGCTATGACTTCCAAAGCTAGGTCATACAATACTTGAGCCTTCCTCCATCCTTTCTCTCTTGAATCACATATTTGTGGAGATGCCAGCTACTATGGCCATGAGGACACAGAAGCATTCCTATAGAGAGTCCCATGTTGTAAGGAACTGAGGCCTCCTACCAATAGCTAGCAAGGATCTGAAGCCTTTGTGATGGTTAACTTTATGTGTCAACTTGACTAGGCGGCAGGGTGTCCAGACCTTTGGTCCAACGTTATTCTGGGTGTGTCTGT